AAACTGTGACAGGAAGAGGTCTGCAGACCCAAAGACACGACTCAATCAGAGGACAAGTTTCTGAGAGTTGGATAGGCGACTCACAGGACAACAGTTTTAAGCAGCTTTACAGTGGTCGTAGTAAGAAAGTCTCAGTTTCAACTGTGAAGAGAAGACTTTGAGCTGCAGGTTTGACTGGACGAGTTGCAGCAAAAAAGTCAGACATCAGAATAAGACAAAGAGGCTTGGCTGGGCCGTGAAACACCACCATTGGACTACTGAAGACTGGAAGAAGGTAGAAGGTATTATGGACTGATGAATCACATTTGAAATCTTGTGTTCATCACACAGGATCTTTGTGGTCGAGTAGGTAAATGATGGTTCCACAGTGTGTGGTATCGACTGTCAAACATGGAGGAGGAAGTGTGATGGTCTGGGGCTGTTTGCTGGATCCAGGGTCGGTGACTTGTACAGAGTGAGAGGCTCCCTGAACCAAAACGCGTACCACAGCGTTGTGCAGCACCATGCAGGACCCTCTGGTATGAGCCTAGTTGGTCAGGGCTTCATCCTACAGCAACATAAAGACCCAAAACATAAATCCAAGCTGTGCCAGAACTACCTCAGGAAAAAAGAACAAGGTGGTGAGCTTGAAAACATGGAGTGTCCAGCACAGTCTCCAGACTTAAACCCCATCGAGCTGGTTTGAACTGGACAGAAGAGTGAAAGCAAAGCAACCTACAAGGTCCACGTTTATGGGAACTTCTGCTACAGATATGGGAGAATATTTGATTTCTTTTGTAGAAAGAAGCCACGACTGTGTTCAGCTGTTATATCTGCCAAAGGAGGCGACTCTGATGGGTCAAAGGTTAGAATACAGTTTGGTCTATAAACTGATTCCATGATTTCTTTCCAATTACTTATTTGTGCTAACAATGAGACATTAAACTGTATCATTTTCAATAAAAAACTGGAAAATGTTGGGTTTTCTTCAACTTTTGAGCGGTAGTGTGTATTTTTAAGTGGTTGGATATTTTATATATTTACTAATTACCATGATTTTTAAAATGATAATTACAGTATCTTCTTTTTGCTTTTATGAGTTAATGTGAGTCAATGTTTCTATGGTTTGTTCTGGTAGGAGGTGCTTAAGCACGGTGTTGGTCCAAGGCTGAGCTGCTGGCCAGTCACCATTAGCCATGGAGTTAGCCCCGAGTTTAATTTCAGCTGAGTTCCTTTAGGGTCTATAAAACAGCTTGAACTTTGTCTGTTCCTGTTTCTTCTGACACATGCATCATGCATAAGTATTCAGGTCTCAGGCCTCTGAGTTAAGACTGACTGAAATAACATTGCCAGTGTAAGCTTACCGGTCCATACTGTATACTGATATCAGATAAGATTACTTAAATATTACTTTAATGCATGCCGCTCTGCTTTTTTAAAAACTGTATTAACGGGGTGGCTGTAGCTCAGAAGGTAGAGTCGACACCCGGCTGCCAAAAACCCTTGAGCAAGATTCAAACCCCAAGTGTCTGCATCCAAAGGAGTATGAATGTTAGAAAAGGTATGACTGGGTGAACCTTTGTATAAAAGCCTGCGCTCAGAGCTCAGCAGGAAGCACTGTGTATGAACCCGTCCACTCTGGGTGGAAACCATCTCACTCAGGAGGAACGCTGTTTGACTCTATAGGTGTGTGTAAACAGACAAGTTCTGCTCATTGACCTTTCACACTGTTATTTAGTTTTCATTTAGTGGTTTGGTCCTCAAATGTTTATTTGTCTTTTCTTCAAATAGAAGTAATGACATTGACAAAACAAACTGTGCTGCTTGGTATGAGGACAACAACAAATGTCTGCTTTCCTTTCCTGTTTTTCCAGTATTCCCCAGTATTCCAGAGCAGCCGGGAATGCTCTGCCCCGGAGAAGACAGTGAGTAAACCTGCTCTACTTTCATTCTATGAGATCAAGTGAGAGTGGATGTCCTTGGACACGTATGTGTCCACGTGACACCTGGACACATAGATATCCAGTAGGGCTGTCAGCGTTAACGTGTCATCACAATTCAAATGTGTAGCACATGTAACCCGTCTGGAGCGCAGAGTGACTCAAAATCCCTGCAATGACTCTGTCA